CTGCCGCCTTGCACATGCGGATCCCGGCTAGTAAAGCTTCATATTCTGCCTCATTGTTTGAGGCCTGAAAACTGAAGCGTAAAGCATACTCGTACCTGTCGCCCTCTGGCGACTGACATATGACGCCTGCTCCACAACCATTTGAAGTAGAGCTTCCGTCCACATATACCTTCCAGACTTGGTCTGGAACTTGAGAGTCAGGAGGACGAGTCATCTCAACAATAAAGTCAGCAAAGGCTTGCCCCTTCACTGCTTTTCTAGGCTCGAAAGTAACTTCGAGGCTCTGTATTTCTATGGCCCATTTGATCATTCGGCCTGACGACTCCATGATGGTCAGTGGCCGCTTGATAGGTTGGTTTGTATACACGACGACTGCATGTGCCAAAAAGTAGGGTTCAATTTTTTAACAACCATGAAGAGTGCAAGACCAAATTTCTCCACTAGGGGATACCTCAACTCGGCATTTTTCAGTACATGACTGACAAAGTAGACCGGGAGCTGACAGCCGTCACTTTCAGCAAGGAGAACAGCGCTTAACGCATGATCAGAGACGGCCAGGTACATGTAGAGTACTTCTTTGGGCAAAGCGCTGACCAGCCTCGGCAAGGAATGCAAGTGAACTTTCAATTTCTGGAAGGCGGCCTCAGCATCCGGCCCCCATTCAAACCTTGCCTTTTTCTTAATTGCCTGGAAAAAGTATAAACATTTGTCGCCTGATCGGCTTAGAAATCTTCCCAAGGCCGCCAGACAACCTGTTAACTTCTGAACCTCTCGGATGGTACGAGGCGACTGCATGTCAATGACCGCCTGCACCTTCTCAGGGTTCGCCTCTATTCCTCTCTGATTGATAAGGAATCCGAGAAATTTCCCAGACTCAACTCCAAAGACACATTTCTTGGGATTGAGCATGGCATGGTGCCGCCTGAGTGTGGCGAAAGTTTCTCGGAGGTCTGACAGATGATCTTTCTGAAGTTTAGTCTTGACAATCATATCATCAATGTATGCCTCGACGTTTCTCCCAATCTGATCAAAGAACACAGTGTTTATCATTCGCTGGAAGGTAGCCGGGGCATTCTTAAGACCAAACGGCATGACCGTGTAACAGTATAACCCCTGATTAGTGACGAAGGCCGTCTTCTCCTGATCTTTCTTCCACAAAGGAATTTGATGGAAACCAGAGTAGGCGTCCATAAAGCTCATCAAAGCATGGCCGGCTGTTGAGTCGACCAGGTTATCAATTTTAGGCAGAGGGTAACTGTCTTTGGGGCACGCCTTGTTTAAGTCTGTGTAGTCTACACACATTCGCCAGGTGCCATTCGGCTTTTTAACAAGCACCACATTTGCAACCCAGTCTGGGAAGTAACATTGCCGAATGAACCCTGCATCAAGTAATTTTTTAACTTCGGCGGCTTCCGCCTGACTTCTTTCTTCGCCATGGATCCGTTTCTTCTGCCGTACCGGCTTCTTTTTTGGATCCACGGCCAGTTTATGTACCGCCAGATCAGGACTAATGCCTGGCATTTCATGGACTTCGAATGCAAAGATGTCCTTGTATTCTTTCAATAGTTTGTGAAAGTCGTCACCAAGGTCTCTCAGAGCAGTCGTCCCAACTTTGACTGTTCGATCAGGACGTGAGTCGTCTAAGATCAGGTCCGTATGCTCACCAGCCGGCTGAGGGCGGAACTCATCCGACCGCTCCTCTGCCAATGATTGCTATTTTCTTTCTTTTCTTGCGGCCCCTGTCTGGGATGCCTTTCTCTTCTTGCTGCCTGCTTCTTGAACAGGCGCACTCTCCTTGACATTGTCAAGGTCTGTTTTTTCACCACTTGACCCAGTGGCCATAACAGTGGGCTTGACATCCGAGAGATAGCACTCTCGGGCCATCTTCTGATCTCCCCTTAGGGAGCCGACTGTTCCATTATCCCTCTCGAACTTGAGAAACATAAGAGATGGGATTATAAAAGCCTTGGAATTATTCAGGGTTGGTCGTCCCAGAATCATGTTGTAGGCCGAGAGTTCTTCTACTACCAGGAACCGGACTACCATGTGTCGTCCTTCCCCTTTTTCGCCCAGGCGGATGGGTAAATCCACTCGTCCCAGTGGGTGGACGACTCCTCCTCCAAACCCTACTAAAGGGTGGGAGGCCGGATGTATGCAATCAGTCTGATATTTTAGTTTCGACAGACATTTGCTACTGATGATATCTGAGGAGCTTCCGGTATCTATGAGGATTCGGCCAACTCTCTGGTTGGCCACTTTACATTCAATAACGATAGGGTCGTCATGCGGCCCTCTTACCCCTCCTAGATCTTCTTCAGTGATGACAATCTCAGGAAATGAATATTTGGACGGCCGTTCTTGGTGAACGGAATTTACATCTAACCATCTGATATTGTCTTTGTTGCCCCTAATAGTGGGGCCGCCTCCTGAGAAGCCGCCTGCGATGATGTAGACGACTGCATCATCTGTATCGGAGCTGTTGGCCTGTTGTTTCTTTTTGGCCGACTGCTTTTTTGAGGAAGTGTTCCCCGTAGATTTCTTGACATAAGTGTCAAGATCACCTTGCTCAGCCAGGCGGTCCAGATACCGCATGAGACTGATGCAGTCATTGGTGTGATGACCAACATCATCATGATAAGCACAGAATTTTTCTTGGTTCCGGCTGTTTGCAGAACCCTTCATGGGGACCGGCTTCTCAATTGAGATCCGTCCCTTGATTTCTTTTAGGATAAACTGGTTATCCTTGTTAAACGCATACTTTGGGGAGTATGGTTTGAATTCTTTTTTCTTTTTCTGGGCCGGCTGTTTAGAGGAATCAGCCGCCCAGACCTCTTTTCTCTTCTCATCTTTGTTTGACGAGTGTTTCTGTCGTCCTTCTCTTTTGTCGAACCTTTTCCCGTCCGACTGTTTTACCGTACAAAGATCAGTCGCCTGTATATAGGCTTCCGCTTCAATCAAGGCCTCTTGAAGAGTCGCCACCCTCTTTCGGACCAAGTCAAATTTGAAGGTCGACCCGTCCTTGAGACCTCTGAAAAAGTCAGTATAGGCTACCTCATCCGGTAACCCTTGAATCTGTATTCTCATCAGGTTAAAACGCCTGATGTAAGAACGAAGCCCCTCCTTCTCGCCCTGCTGAATTGTTCCTAAATCAAGGGTCGTCTTCTTCGCCGGGATGTTCATGGCGAAGTTGGAGGTGAATAAGTAAGCAAGCGTCCTGAAGTTATTTACACAACCAGTCGGCAGGTTGCCGAACCATTGTTGTGCGATTCCTTTGAGAGTCGCTGGGAAACACTTGCACCAAGTGGGATCATCTAACCCTTGAAGGTACATCAGGTTGGTGAATGCCATCAGATGGTCTTCTGGGTTAGTAGTGCCGTCATAGGCACCTACTAATACATTTTTCACTTTGGTCGGCTGAGCGGCTTCAGTAATTTCCTTGGAGAAGGCCGACGGCTGTTCACCAAGTCTAAGCAACCGTAGCTGCCAGTCCATAGGTTGGACGTTTTTTGCTGCATGTCCACCAAACGGAGGTGGCTGCAAAAAATACTGTTGTTGCGGCACAAACGGTAAGTTTGGTACCGCCTGGTCGCTATGAAAGCCGGACTGACGGGAGGTACCGCCTGACTGACTCTCATGATACGACTGCGTATGCCTCATTGAGGTATTTCGCAGACTGTCTTGGAAGTTTGAAGTAGAGGCCGACTCTGACAATCGGTCACTCTTCTTCTGCTCTAGCAGTAGCCGAGCGTCTGTGAATGTTTGCTTCGACCCGTCCGCCTGAATATGACGAACAGGTTTCCTATTTCCTGTAGGAAAACGGAATTTGGTGAAATCAAGGGCAGGTGGCTCCCGCTTCCTAGATTTAGGATGAGGAGTCGCCTCTCGCCCTTGAACTGGCTTCCTCTTCAGCGAAGTGGAGGGTTTCTTAGCCGACTGCTCCTTGACCAGAGCAGGCGGCTTCTTGTTGATCAACTCTTGAATCTCTCCCTTGAAGTCCCTCATGAAGGTCATGAGTTCGTTCCTTGTGATGGGAGCAGACCCATCAGTCGGCTGTTGCCGAACAGGCGGTGCGTCTGCTGGCTCGCTTCCTGTATGAAGATGTTCCCGTTCCCTCCTTTTGGTCTGACGGGTACGTCGGGCCCTTAGGGTCCCGTCTGAAGCTGTGTGAGCTTCAACTTCAAATTCACTCTCAGTATCGTGGTCCGACTGAACTTGAGGGTCGTCTAGGGGACGCCTCTCTTCAGGAGTCGGTACAGACTTGGATGCCATCTCAGAAGTACTCTCCCCACAGACGGCGCCAAATGTTTCGGGGTTTTCTGATGTCCTGCGGGAGAGTTACAATTCCGAGACTGGAACCGGACGTCTGTACCTGCAAAACAACGGAGACTCCTGGTGGTGGGAGCTCCGCCTCCAACGGTCAAGTTAGTACTTGATTAAGGAGTAATTAATGCGGAAATTAAAGTGAGTGGGTCTCTCTAGGTGAGAGTGTTTGATGTGAGTTTTAGCGTAATCTGCTTGTAACTCTGTGTAAATCTCTGTGTAATCAATCTAATCCCTCTTAATGAGGATTAAGGGAGGTATTTATAACCTTGGGAAACGTGCCAATCCTAGGTTTAGGTTAACCTAGGGTTGATTGGGCTTCCCTCGGAAGTTGGGCCTGGGTGGCCGGTTATCCCAGGTGTTATGGGAAGGACACATGTCGTGTCGTAACAGGTCCAAGGTGGACGGATCATTGCTTGACACGTGGCAGGCTCCTATTGGCCCATGTGACGGACACATGGCGGAACCTGATTGATCCACTTGTCAGATGGTGATTGGTGGGAGCAAAATCCCCTAATCACAATTAACCCTAGTTAATGCCTTAATGGTCTAAGAATATGAGTAGTATAGATTGGTCTAAGCATATGAGTACTATAGATTATTAACTTCTACTTTAATTTGGATCTATATAATCATAAATATGAATGATCCCAATTAAAATGACACATTTTTTGTTCTAGAAGGATAAAAGATCTGTGCTTGAAGAAGCAATTAAGTACGTGAAACAGCTCCAAGAACGTGTTAAAGACCTTGAAGAAAAAGCAAAGCCTCAAAATGTTGAATCAGCAATGCTAGTGAAGAGGAAACATAAAAACAAAGAAACCGTTGATTTGCAATTTCCAGAAATAGAAGCTAAAGTAAGCAACAAGGACGTGTTGCTTAGAATTTATTGTAAGAACCAACATGGATTACTAGAAACGATATTGAACGAAATGGAGAAGGTTAACTTGTCTATTAATGGTACCAGCTTTCTTTCTTTTGGGAATCATGACATGGATATCACTACAATCGCCAAGGTAACTATTTGAATCATAATTTTTTGTCTCGCTTTTATTACTCGATCTAGTTGATAACATAATATTTTCGTCTCTCTATTATACATTGTATATCTCTAGAATTATTAGGTGCACATAAAAGTAATTATTGTATATTTTCCCCACTCCCTCCCCCTCACCCCCCCCCCCCCCTTTATTTTTATCATTTGGAGGGATATTAAAGAGCAAAAGTGATTGGGTGTCGAAAAAATTACCCTTTGAACTTTGAAGCACCTATTTGACTATCAATAAGTACATCATCATGTATCTTAAAATTTCCAATTACTTTTTTGATTCAAAATAACTTGCAATATCAAACATGATATACACATCAATGCATGAGTTTATCTTTTAATAAACATAATAAAACTTTAGTAAAAATTATAAAATTGTTAATATCATGAAACTTGAAAAATCCAACTATCTCAATTGGCTGGGAGAACCCATGCCTGAGATGATTTTGAATCTTCCATGGCTGAGAGTTAGCAAGCAACCTTTGCCTCTTGGAAGGAGGATAGGCAAACAATGTGATAGCTTCGATTAGAGCAAAGCCCAAAATAGCATAACCAGATAACTGTTTTGTCAATGGTGGAATAGTCATAGATTATAACAAAGTGACCCTTATAATACCGATCGAGTAATCATTGTAATACTAATCGAGTAACCCCTGTAACACCAATCGAGTAACCCCTATAAAACTAACGAAGTAATCCCTACATTATTTGGTCACACCGTGTGACCAGTCACATATAAGAATTTGTGTAAAAATAATAATTATTATTTATAATAAATTAGTAAAAATAAACATAGTTATGTGTAATTAATGAAAACAGTCAAATCATATATGTTCATAATAAAACGAAGGGAATATTATTTAAAAACCACCATCATTATGATATTAGTTAATCACCCTCTTCATTGATATACCGACATAAATTGTTACATTTTCGCCAGCAAATACTCCGAACTAATGTTGGATCACATACAATTTGACAAGTTACAATAAAAAATATTTGGAATTCTTATCTTATACAAGTACTTCGTACGTTGATATATTCTATGATTATCCTCCCTATGAAAACTGACACATCAAATTTATAATAGATTAATAGTGTTTCAAAGGTCAAATTTTATACTATCCCTCATTTGTTTATCTTTTTATTTACTAAAATAATTAGTAAGTGAAATGCGGATCCCTATTTTTACTTTTTAAGTAGAAAAGAAAAAGTTGTTTACAACTATTGTTTTAATTATGTAGAACGTAGTTTTTTATGGATCATAGTGATGTAAGTGTTGTATGATTGTATTGTAGTTATCGTTAAAATGGCTATAATTATACTAAATTTTTATTGGCTGATTTTTTATTAAATTTTAATGTCAAATTTAAATATAAATTGTTTATCTAAATTTTAATATTCATTTATTAATTTTGAAATAGTTTTTGATTTTTTTATAATTATCATTATATATATATTAATTTAGGAAATTAAGTTTTGATTATTACTTAAATTACAAAATAATTCATAAATTAATTATGAAAATATTAAAAAATAAATTAGAATTAAGAAAAACATTGGTAATTAATTTTGACATAAAAATAAATAAAATATCAGCCAATGAAAAATTAGTATGATGGTACTATGGTAGTCATTTTAAGGATGACTATCATATAATTTTCACAAAGTTTCATATGTGACTGACCATATTGTGTTGTCGGAATTAATTGGTCAGGGGTTACTCAGTCGGTCAGGAGTTACTCGGTCAGTCAAGGGTTACTCGGTTAGGGGTTACTCAGTCGGTCAGGGGTTACCCGATTAGTGGTTTAGTGTGTGTCAGTCGGCCACATAATGTGGTCAGCCACACAGAAAACGCGGTGTAGAATTTTTAGTGATATAAGGAATGATAAAAGTAAAGTGAAATAATAATTGGCAATGTTTAAAAAAAAATTAATAATTGGCAATTGTTAAGAGTAAAAAAGTAACTAGCTTAGGTAATTAATTAAACAAGATATTACATTTAAAATTAACTTTGATGATTTTTTTTTTATGGTTTATGGGGTAAAAATTAAATTGTACGGAGTACTTGGTTCAATCAATTTATGATTCGTTGGAGTTATTGTTTTATTTATGCAGATGAATGAAAACTTCGGAATCACAGCAAAGGAGCTTGTGCAAAAACTAAGGATGGTTCTCTAAGCTAGCTGCATCTTACGAAGTACTACGTACATGCATACTTTTGTCAAACAATGGATTTGTTGTACCAGTATAAGTACATATAGGCCTTTGGCAAATCTAAATGGAGGAATCCTTTCTCGTACTTAATTGATATGGAGTACTTTTTCATTAAGTGGAATATTTAATTTAGTAATGCTATACACAGCCCTTAGGAATACAATTAAGCATTTAATATCTTTCCATTTTTGGTATAAGTTTAGGAATGCATGACAAAATCACGCGTAAATCAATGTAATTGATGAATATATTTCATTAATAATTTTTTCTTTTAACTTCTTATACATATCCCTTAGGCCTACATAAAGCATTTTCCTTTTATTTAACTTAACAATTATACTACTCGTCAAATTTCGTTGAAAAAAAAAAATATGTATCACAGGTCCTTAGAGCACTCCCGGCAGTGAGGAAAAAAGCCCTCACAAGTAAAAATAAAGGTGTAAAAAAAATACCCGAGCATTACGTTAGTGAGGGAAAAAACCCTCACCGTTGAGAGCTATGAAAAACGCACAAGAGTTGAGGGGAAATACTCGTGAACAGTAACCGGTGGGCCCCACATGTACACGCCGCTTTCCCTTTTTTTTTCCTTTCTGGCTTGCAAAACGACGTCGTTTTGCCTTAAAGAAGGGCGAAACGACGCCATTTTGAGGGGCAAAAAGGGAAAAAAATAAGGGGGCAGCTGGCCTGACGCGCGTCAGACCCAGCCAATGGGGATGCGACACGCGTCAGGCTTTGTCCTTCCAACCAATCAGATTTTTTTGCTTTTATTACAACGGTTATATTTTTGTAAGGTAAATATAACCGTTGTAATTATAAAAAAAAAAAAAAAAAAAAAAACAAAATTCACCAACGGATAGATTTTTTTTTCTCTATAAATAGACATGCATTTTGATATATTTTGATATACTTTCAAAAAACCCATAAATACTACTAATTCAAATGTTAAATTATAAATAAAACGTAATTGAAAAATAAAAAAAATATTATTAATTATAATTAAAACGTAATTGACAAATAAATAACAATCTTATTAAGTTATAATTGAAACGTAATTGAAAAATAAATATAAAAATTATAAATTTTTATTATATTATTTTTAAACGTAATTGAAAAGTAAATATAAAACTTATAAATTGTTATTAAATTATACATTTTTATTAAATTATTTTTAAACGTAATTAAAAAATAAATTATTTTCACATATTTTAATTGTATTGGAAAATTAAATATGTAGTATAAACATTATTTCAAAATAAAGATAAAATAAAAAGATGATGTGTATTATGGTGGGGTATAGTAAATAGTGGAGGAAAAAGTGATGAGAGGTTTTTTTTTACTCCTCATTGATGTAGTGAAAAAAACATTTGATGAGAGAAATTGTATGGGAGGAGTGAGAAAGTGGGTAGAGAGAGATTGAGAGGTTTTTTTTTTCCTCACTGCTGATAGTGGTCTTAATTTAAGAAGGGGGAAGCAAATTAATCCCAAGCAAACAAAGTACCACTTTCCAAGAAGCATCCTTTACTTATTTAGGAGTAATTATATATACTAGTATAAACAAAATTAAAATTTTATCTCACTAGGCACTAGGCCACTAGCTCTTAAATTTTAGTTCATTTAATCCAAATTAGCAAATTTTACGTACTTATTATATTGCCGCCAATTTAATTATACTTAAGTTTCTTTGGTAAGAGTTTTTTTTTTAGAGTTTTTAGCTTTTTGAATCTATTAGAGATTTGACCATTATCAAAAAGTTAATTTTAGTATTTGGTAAAAAAAAAATTTATAAAAGAGCTTTATCGACTTAAAAAACTCTTTTTGAAAAAGCTAAAAACAAAAGCTTTAAAGTTAAAATTAGCTTATAGAACATTTATCTTTTTAGTAGTCTCATAAATTAAACAACTAACTATTAACAGCTAATAAAACCATTATTATATTAATTAATTAAACTAATCAGTTATATTAATCAATTACCAGCTAATTACCAAATAGGATCTTAATAAAGTATCATCGGTGTTTGTTTTCAAACCAAAAATAAAAATGTATGTATCATCGGTGTTAGGCATACGATTAGATCTTTTGGAGGAAACAATAGTATAAAACGCCATATAAAAGTTTCAAGAACGAGAAAAGTACAAAAATATTACAGTAAAAAATTACAAAAACAAAAGCCTGGGCACATTAATAAGTGCATGCAATGTTGTTTGAAAAGTCAAATTGTCTTCACATAATGCCTCTTTATTTCTTCCCAAAAATGTTTATTGTGCTGAGATTTTTTTTATTAATTCTAGCACGTGGTAAATTATATATATATATATATATATATATATATATATATATATATATATATATATATATATATATATATATATATATATATATATATATATATATATTCCAATTTACAGAAAATCAAATCTTGTAATTTTTTTTTCTTTTTCTTGACAAAAGGGTAAACAAGAAAAGAACACACACAAACCTTGGAATTTAAGTGACTCTGAACGACAATGGCATGGTTTTGGTTTTCCATACGCATGCTTTATATTTTAGACATTTTGGGAAATGATATGTTGGAGTGCAGCATTTCCCAAAAGTTTCACCAGTGCCTGCGTGCTCATGTTAAAATCATCACTTGCCTGAAATTTATGTGTCATGACAAATTGTTGGTAAATTAAACGTCATACTTACCATGTGTCAAACTTCAATTCTCAAATATGTATGACAGGATTGACAATTTATAAAATTTTGAAATTTAAGATCCTTAAAAAAGTAACAGTCTAGATACTTTGACAAATAGTTGTTGGCGGTTGGCTGGATCATTTGACTTGTTTAACCAGTTGAAATGTTGGCTATTTATACTGCCTTTTGAAATTGGTTGTTTATAAAAATGTTTGGTAAATTTAGTTGGTGGTTGTTGGCTGTTTATTAGATAATTTGTGGACCAACAAGCCAAAAGCCAACAAAAAAAAAGCCACTCATAGCAGTTTTTTCGCTGAATGAAAAACCAATTACCAAACACTTTTTTTGGTAGTTCAACCACGTAAAAAAACCAAAAGCCAAAAGTTAACCAAAAAGCCATTTATCAAAGATGACCAATATATAGTTGTTCAAGAGATAGCTTATACCAAGTATGATAAAGCATATTCTTTTACTTTTTATATGCAATGCTTAGGGTTATCATTTTTTAAAAAAAGCTGAATAATTTCAATGCTTAAGGTATTTTTTTATCGGGTAATGCTATATGTAGTTTTAAGGGCTAAGAATAAGCATTTTATATCTTTCCTATTTTGATACTCCGTATTAATTTAGAAATGTATGATAAAATCACGCACAAATCAATGTAATTAAATTATATTTTTATTTATTTTTCCATTTTTAGCTTATTATATATAACCCTAAATATATAATATCATCCTTTTTTGTCTAGCAATTTGCAATTTGATAATCCAACTTGCAAATAATGATAAATGATGATATTGATTTCATGTTGTTGGTCAAGGTAGTAATATATGGTGTATTTGTGTGCGCAGAGTCAGATGCATAGGGCTTAATTAAGAGGACCCCAAAACTAGAAAGCGTTTAGTTTTATAGCATCAACTTCAATTTTCGTTGGACTACTTCATTTTGACCTCTTCACTTTGTACCATATTAATCTTTTATCTTCCCATACTTAATGCCTTCATTTTAATATGAACATTATTACATATTTCAAATTTAGGGATCAATATAGTAATTAGATCTGGACTACTCTCTGTATTTCATAAATCAAGATTAAACTAATGCATGCTGAACAGCACGTTCTAATAATTAATCTCTAGAAACTAATGGTGCATTATTAAATACTCGTATAATTCATGGATAAGTAGGGTACTTTAGGAATCATATTACTTGAGACTTAGGATGAAATAATATGTAGTATAAGTACATTATTTCTTCCCAAACAGTCACCGGAATGCCAGAGTTATTCCATCCATTTTCTGTTGATGGTTCTGCCTTCCTTTTTAGTCCATTCATTAATCTTATTATATAGAATATCTCCTTTTATGAATACTTATTTCAAAGTTGTAATCCCTAACTTTAGATGAACGATCTAATGGCCTGGCACTTCCACTAACTCACATATGTATTTTATTAATTATTGTTTATTGCCAAATAATGTCCTAATTATTAGGTCCTCCTTAAATTAGCCTATTAACTCTATTCTATACTCCCTCAAATATTTCACTATTACACATGCTAGAGGACTAATAACTGAACCAATTAAAATTTTAAATTGATGGTTGAATTATGGATTAGTTTTAATACCCTATCAATTCAGATAAGGATTAGTAATTGATACATGCATCTAACGAACCACTATAAAACAAAAAAAAAAAAAAAAAAAAAAAATTAGAAAATTAAAGCTATGCAAATTACAAATTCATATTAATGACATTGATAGAATAGTTTTTCACAATTAATATCCTAAACTATAAAGATTACCCTTTTATGGAGTATGATCTTAGTTCAATGCTTATTATATGTATCATTTATACCTACATACTCCCTCGCTCTGCTAGCATAAAATCGACTAACTTTTTAATCGGGGCCGTTTCAAAAAGTTTGACTTGTATTTACTTTTTATTCTTCTTTAGGCAATCCCTGTTATAATTATCTTACTTTTCATAGTTAGCTCTATTTAACTTATATAGACTATGTTCTTTTGGACTTATTTTCGGTTCAATTTAGTTCAAATCAGTTCATCTTAATTTAGTTCAGTTCAATTAAATTCAAATTAGTTCAGTAAATTAGTTTCGCTTCAGTTTAATTTAACTCACTTCAGCTGACAAGAACATGGCGTTATCAGTTTGACAGTTATAGACTTTTTCATAAAACCACATACTTTTTTTAATGGCATGCATTCTCTTACCATTTTCACTTTTTCTTACAATTACTTTTTTCAAGCATTCCTATATATAAACAAGAGTACAAATGTGGGGGTCAATTAGTCAATCATTCTAAAATGAATGGAGTACTCTATACCAACATTTATAATAATCCTAACATGAGTAATATAAAGAAAAAATTGGTTTTAATAATCTCAATTTTGACCGATTTATTTAAATAATCCCTAATTTTGATTATTCTGAAATAATCCCAACTTTTATAGGTGTCTTCTTATAATAATCCGAACTTTTATTTTTGTTTTGCATAATAGTCCCAAAAGGGATCAGCAAAAGCAACAAAATAGCACTTCGGATTACTTTAGGAAGATACCTATATAAGTTTGGGTTATTCCATAATAATAAAAAGTAGGGATTATTTAAAGAAAATCAATCAAAGTTGGGATTATTAAAACCAATTTTTCCTATAATAAATCTTAATTTAGACAAAAATATATCATGGTGAAGTTGATAAAATAAATGAGTGGCATACCTTAGCAAGAATTGTGATATTAATGGCATAGCTTCCAAATGGCATGGTTTGGCAATTTAAAGTGGTTAAATTAAGCTTTCCAATTTCCTCAAGTATATGGTGAATGAGGCCATGATTCTTAAGAGAGTGAACCCTAATGAAGATATTGTTGTTTACAACCTTGGCCTCAATTTCCAAGTTATCATCAGGACTCATAATTTTGTTGGAATATGAAAAAGAATTAGCAGCATCATCAAAAGTTTGCGTTTGTATCTTGTTAACAAGACAAACAGACTCCATTGTTCTCTTCGAAGTCTGTTCTTCCAAAACTTTGGCTCGATCTTCAAGTTGTTTTAGGTACTCAACTGTTTCACCCAGGATTGATGCTTTGTCTGTCTGCATTGTTTCACAATATATTATACTCGTATATCATTCTAATTGAGATATTTATCTTTGGTATGATATATAATAAGTGTGAGTTAAATATATATATATATATATATATACATATATATATATATATATATAATAAAAGCATATTGGTTAATCCGGCTATTTGTCAACTTAATTCATTAATTACTTTAACTTAATTAATTACTCTTAATAACTTAAGTAATTTAACTTAATTCATTAAGTTAAATATACTTAATTAAGTTAAATGTACTTGAACATAATTCATAACTTAACTTAGCTACTAATTCATTTTCTCTTTACAAAAATTAAAAATAAAAAACAACTTACTCCATTAATTACTAAACTCTAAAATTATCATTAACTAACAGATGCAAGTATTAGAGAGTGAATATCAATCCCTACCTTTTAAAAATTTCAAGTATAACTTTTATGAATAGTGTACAAATTTTTATATTCTAAAACTGTTTGTTTACTTATTCGCCTTTATTAGTGTTTTTGAATTCACAAGAATAGTGTAAGAACCTTTATATTCCTAAAATTATTTATTTACATATTTTTCCTAATTAATCCTATCAATGACTAATTTCTCACAACAAATCAAACCGAAATATATTAGCCTAAAATACAAAAGAAAATCTACAACATCTTGTAAATTTTTTTTTTTGACGAAATACAACATCTTATAGTTATTAATATAATGATGAGTGTGTATAATACATGGTTGAAGCGGTGATTGATTAAATTATATCTACGGTTGCCCTCAATTGAATGCCAAACTAAAAGAACAAAAGTATTTCACGATCACCTGTATTAGTCATAATAATTGAATAAATGAATTTATTTTCCCTCAAAAAATTTCCAATCCAAATTAACAATTAAACTACTTTAATTAGTATATGAATGTGTAACTTCTTGAGACCAGGAATTAGGGCAGAGAGAGCAATAAACCCTTGAGTCATTTTCTCCCTTCGCCTCCTCTCCGCAACTACATGCTCATTAGAAGTCAACATAACCCTCTTGTTATTACCATTACTAAGTTCAGGCTTTGTTTCAAAGTCCGAGCTCCCAAAACATATGAGCTTCCCAGATGAACTCCAATCACAATCAATACTCGGTGTGATCTTATTCGTCGCCTCCATAACAGGCTCGAAATTGTTACTCTTTATTTTGGTGTCCAAGATCAAATCTGGTGCTTGAAAAATATCTTCGAATTCAAATACATCGGAGCTCATCATCATTTGACAATGATGCATTATTGATGTTGGATCTTCGTTCTCCTGCAAATAAATAAAAATCATTATGGAGTATTCTATATGATGAAAATCCCTAAATGTTTATTGTGGAACATATTACTCTAGTTGGTTTAATCAAAGTAGGTTAAAAATACTTACAAGATCAGATAACCATTCTCCGGAAGACATTTCCATGAATTTGCTACAAAAATATATGAAAATAAAATTGCTAAGAAAGTTAACAAAATTATCGTTTTTCAAGATACACATGCGCAATAAATTGAAATCATATATAAATTTAATTACTACTCCGTATTAAAATGTCATGTTGAAGGGATTTAGGGATTTAATACTACTGATTCATAACTTCAAGTAATTAATCAAGTACTATTCAAAAAATAATAATAATAATTAATCAAGTAAATAATTTAATTCAACAACCATTGAAGTTTGAAATTACATAAGGGTTGGAAATGATGCTTACCTTGAAAAAGATGTCAAATTAGGATGTTGAATGGAAATGAAATTATGGATGATTTAATTATAAAGTAGTCCTAAAATGCACTTTGGATTTGATTATTAAATTATATCGACTTAAAAAATAAAACATGTGGGTTACTGCTTACATAGACGGGTTGTTATGCCCAGATAAGTAAATAAGCGTGTTGTAGAAAGCAGTGGCGGAGCCAGGATTTGTAATCCGGGGGGACAATTTTTAGATGTTTAATAATCGACAATAATTATAAGAAAAAAGAAATTGATCACATAAATTGTTTAATATATATTTGAAATCGCTTATGAGATATGACAATTATTCTTATATGGTGAAAGAGGAGTTGTTAAAAAATTAATTGCATATTAAGAAATTTATTAACCAAATTTTTTTTTTATGCTTGTAAACCCCAATTTTAAGGTATGTAATCCTTAATAATCGATAAATATGATTTATCAAATGATAAGCATTTACACAAATTGATAGTAGATGTAAAGGGATTTGGGTTACATTTTAAAAAAAAAATAATAATAAATAAATAAACTTTCTTTGACTAAAAATAAAATTGGAAACTTAGTTCCAAACAAGCTATAAAAAAAATAGAATTTAGGCACACATAATTAGAGAGATAAAAAAATACGGAGACATGTGTTCATTACAAATAGTTTAATAACACATTAGTAATCACTATCAACAAGGCGATACTTGATTAAACAGTTAAATGAGAGTAATTAGAGGTTTGAAGACTTATAATACTTTGTATATATAAATTACATACTATATAATGAAATTTAAAAACCAGTAAAAAAAAAAATGGCAAAATCCAAAAACAAGAAAAAGAAGTTAAATAGGAGCACTTTGTATAAACTATAAAATGAAATAAAAATAAAGTCCAAAAATAACAAAAAGAAACAAAAAAAATGATCGGGTAAAGAATCGAACCTAGGATCAAAGAGAAATACAAGCTTTACTCAAGCCCATCAACCACCAGACCAAATGTTGTCTTTGTTATATAAGGTATACATGTAAGGTATTTATTCTTATTTACAGCATTTATTTAAGCTAACATAAATTAAATTTTTTTTTGGAAAAATGGGGGGACAACCGTCCCCCCTTGTTCCTACATGGCTCCGCCCCTGGTAGAAAGTCGTCCTTGCTTGACCGTTCGCAAGGGTACGAGTAAATTGTGATTCTTTATTTATTTTATTTTAGTTTATCTACTCCGTATTTATTTATACGCATTACAATTTATTTATTTATATTTATGACGTGGGGTACAGAGAAAAAAGTTGTTGATTGTACGCCTTTTATTTTGGTGTTCAGATTAAATCAGTTTTAGCTCAATTGCAAGATTTGCAACTTGTTTGTTTGAATTTATTTTAACTACCTAAATTATCTTAACTTACTTAAATTTATTGGAAATTGTTTTTTAACTTATTTCTTAAAAAATAAAAATAAAAATTACCTTACCAGAAATTATTTTAATTTTCTAAACACGTTAAATTATAAGATAAATAAAATGAAAAACACACTGACCCCAAATAGTGAAACTTCACTTCAAAGAACTGAACCTGACCCGATAAAATGGTTGGTCGCGTTGAATGTCACTGAATTTTAGATTAAAAAATTATTCAAGTGGGTAAATTTAGGATTCAAGTCAAGTAAAAAGATACAAACCTTTCGAGTATTGTTTATACGTAGTATGCATGTATTGTAAGGTTTTTTTAAGGCATGATGATGGACCGTATTGAACCATCCAACTCCACAGATCAACGATTGAGAGTAAAGAGGGGGTAAAGGAATCTTCCTATTTTCAAGCAAATGTGATTGATGGGGCTCGTACAAGTCGTATTAATCATGACCTCAAAGTGATAAGGTGAGTTAGTTTCCCACCAATTCCACCAAGCTTGCTTGTTCATATGTCAATTGTTATGAGTAGTATGTATATCATGTATAATCATATTTAAATATAAATTCTTACGATAAATATACTTCCTCGTTTTATTTTACATTGTTTTAATATAAAATGATGGATTTATACATATATAATTTTTTGGATTTTACATTGTTTATATAAAAAAATTGATTCATATAAAGGTTAACTCGCAATTTTTCAGGTTTTAGAAGCCTTAGCTAGGACTTAAATAATATTTCCTCCTTTTCATTTTAGATGACACATTTCTTATATGTGCGTCTGCCAATTATGCACAATTCAAATAAAAATATCTTTAACTATATATGTACAACAAAAACTATAAAAATGAGATATTTGGAAAGTAAACATTGAGACGAATCAAACAAAACCCACTATATTATGTTTTCTCATAAGAATAATTCACAAAATGAAATCAAAGTAGCTTATGTGAATAGTGGAGAAAGTCAAAATATGTCAAGTAAAATGAAATCGAAGAAGTAATTAAGTTTCAAGTCCCAAAAGGTTCTTCAAAACCTATTTTAGGGTTGCATTGGATTAGGGTCGGGTTATGTTTAAGAAGGGTCAATCTTAACTAACTAATTTAACATTGCTAAACCTCGGCTATATGTACCACCTCTCATGAAATTGTCGACTAAACTAGATAGCTAACATCCTCTCAATGCTGACAACCCTATATCCCTTTGCCGCGCGTATTTGTATAATTTTGTGATATACAAGACCTTTATCAAAATTAATTTTTTTTTTTTCACTTAACTGTACTTACAAAATAAAGTGAGTTAGGGGGTTTAATATTCAAATTGGAGTTCATCTTCGTTTTTCTTGATTTTTGATAATTCACTACCATCTTGAAGTTGATCAACTCAAGCTCCTCTAATTGCATATAAGCGGCGTATTACTTGAAGCTCTCTCTCGGTCTCGATCGATCTCCCTCCTCCCTCACGCATATTCCATTAGGCCCGGTTTGGCTAGGCTGCTGCCGCCGCTGCCATGCAGCCACTACCTCGCCGGTTACTTTTAAACAATGGCTGCATGTCCGGCCTCATGCTACCTTGGCTCGTTGTTGTTGTTGTTGTTGTTGTTGTTGACCGTTGACGTACTATGTTGATTAATGAGTTGTTTGATGCTACTACCCAAACCCAATGATGAATATGACACAAGCCTCAATTTCGGACCCTTCTTAAATTTCAATAATATAACCCAATTCACATTTGGGCCTAAGTATTATTTGCAAAGTCTTTAGTTGGCCCTTATTCTTTTATTTTTAGTAAACCACGTTTAATTTATAATTCTCTTAAGCATGGATTTATAATTTTATTTTCTTTTGTTGTTCCACCCAATTCACTCTTTGGACTAATTTGAATTTGGGAATTAGTTTTGGGTGGTTAGCTTTCAATCCCCTCTCAATTGTTATTGCGGGGGGTCAAACACACGGTCCTTTCTACCAAGTGCAGTCGCAATCATCACTGCACCAACAACCAATTGGTTGCATGGATTTATAATTTATTTGTTCGCATTTTTGTTCTTGCATTCTTTGTTACCTTGTTTTAATAATATTATTTTGGTTTTCGAAAAAAAAATTTAATCTTTTTTTGAATGAAGTATGGAGTGAATGTTGCCCACATAAAAATCTTACTTCCACCGTTTTAAATTTGTTAAATGTTTTGACGTCCAATATCCATTCCTATGACTAACATTTATGAATTATAAATATGAAAAAATATAGTTATGAATTATAAATAAGAAAAAATATAGTTACGCGAGATCATGATAAATCCGTTTCAACGTGTGCTTATTTGAAGATATTTTCGATTGGATTTATATTGGCAAACTTGATAAAATTATTGTGTCAACTAATTTGAAATAGAGGATATATATGCCAAATTCAAGTTACTTGGACTAGATTTGAGCAGAGAAAATCCAAGTTTATCTCCTAGATAAATGATGATTGTTTATCAAAGGATAAAATTGTAAATAAATACACAATTTTTATTGGTAATATTATGATTTTACCCCCTAATAAACGAGTTATGTTTATCAAGGACATATATTGAGGCTCCATCATTTGAGCATGTTGGGCCTAGTAAGGTTGCCTGTTGGAATTGATTTTGGACTAGGTTTTAAGGTTTGTTTAGCCTCTATTTGAAAGGTCTATTGACTTCTTTAGTCCATTTCCAAATTTGAATTGAACCAACTAATTAAGACAAGTTGTATATTTCAATTATTGGGTATTTTATTTTTGGAGAAATACGATTAGGTGTCTACAGGTTTATTATAAGTATATTGAGCACTTTCTGAATTGTTTGGGTTTGCGTATATGTCTTAGACCTTATGACTTTTGTACTTTAGTACTGTTCTTTAACCACATACACTATTGCATATTGATTACTATTTAAATATAGTTGTGTGAGATCCCTTAATGTTGCAATATCAAAGAAACAAAATACTAGGATAGTGTTTGTTATTGCCACAACTCTTGGTCCCATATTATTTTTCTAACAACTAATACGAGTAGTTTTTTAGTGCAATGTGCATGATGTAGGATAGACTTGATCGAATATCCGACCACACTAAATCATCTGTTTTCGACTGCTCCATAACACATATTTTCTCAATCATTTGAAATGGTTAAAGATTGACCCTACATCCCAAATATGGATGCTACACTTCTAAAGCAAAAACTCGTGAACAATGATTATTGAGAAAAGATAAGTAAACTCCCCAAAAAGACAATAGCACAAAAAATATACAGCTAATAAAACGGAATTTTGAACTAATTTAAGCTAACATAGTTGCCAAAATTTTATGGAAATTTTTTACATAATATGCAATAATTTCTGAAGATGAACCCAATTATTGTTCTTTTTGCCTCTTTGTGATAGAGACTATATATAACTATATATGAGACAAAAATGTTAGGAGAGCTGGCAATTTGTCGAACTTAAGTTGTTTACAAAAAGAATTCTTTGATCTATCACTATTTATGAAACAAAACAAAAAAAACAATTGGTTCCACATTGAAGATAGATCACGTAGTTCGAAATCAACCTGAAATGATGCTAAAACTTTTCAATTTTTCATATTCATTCGTTTGGAAGTTTTATGCAATTTGTATAAATTATTATATGAAACTAATAGAATAAGACCTCACACGAAAGATCCCATATCAAATTGCTCAATTTATTTCCTTATATTATGCAAGGTTAAACTGAGTATTCGTTACGTTCAGAAAATTAGTTACTTTCACAAATTATAGTAACGTCCAAGATCACACATACTTCATGTTGTCGATTAATTACCAAAGGATCAATTTACTTCTAATTGGGTTTGAATGAAAATATATACCTTGAATTTTTTAATTTATAGTTGAACTTTGTGAAATAATAATGGAGAATAATTGCTTAGCTTGTATTCATGGCTCTTGACCGAAATATACAACAGTGTACAAGATAATTATGTAAAGAATATTAGCTATGATAACAACTTAACATAACTCTATCTTTTGCCAACTAATTATGCTAATCAAAATCTTCATCATATATCTTAACAAAAGTTGATTTATAGATTTTGAATTTTGATATTGCATATGTGATACGTTGCCAACCCAATGTTATGAAAGGTTTTTATTTTTCAATATACTCTATCTTTTGCCAACTGATTATGCTAATCAAAATCTTCATCATATATCTTAACAAAAGTTGATTTATAGATTTTGAATTTTGATATTGCATATGTGATACGTTGCCAACCCAATGTTATAAAAGGTTTTTTTTTTCATATACTCGTATATTAAGAGGAAGCACTCTTCCCGTTATATGTATTCACTTATATACAAAGGAATTATATTACCTCCATTGTCATATTTATTGCAACCAATGTTTTTGCACAAACTACTAGCGAATTGCATTAAAATAATGTGACGAGGAGAGAGAAAGATAGAGGTACATCTGAATTTTTATTTTTATTTTATTATTAAACTGCATGAAATGTCAATATTGGTTTGGTATGGACCAATAACTTCCTCCAATCGAATAATTGTTTTACTAATCTGAACCCTCTCACTAGTTAATCCGGGTCAAATTAGCGGTATAGACACGTTATAACAGGGGGAGAAGGTGAG